TTTAATTTGCAGACAATGCCAAACTGTAAGCACTTTAGGAGATAAGATCAAAATAATTTTGACCAACTAGAGCAGAATTCAGACAACAGAGCCCAATTCCGTACCAACAAGCACAGAGCATCACATTTGTCACTGAAAATAATCGAGTAGGTGACAGTTCCTCAGAAAGGAGTCTGGGTATGACAGTGAATGAACGAAGCGTGACTCAGTGGCATCCCACAAGCTCATCTTGTGGTTACATGGTGGTGGGCAGTATTGCAGAAACCTGAGTAGTAGATGCACAAGCCACCTCCAACTCGCCCTCCCGCAGAAAGGGTCCAATTCAAAGCCCTTTAAAACACACAAAGAAAAACCCTGGGGAGGATCCTGCAACAGAACAGAGGGCAATCGGACATCTGGAAAGTTGGACTGACAGGGAAAAAACTTGGGTTGCTTAGCAAGGAAAAGGTAGAGAGATATGCTCTCAGTCTTTTATATGTGCAGAAAGGTGGAGAAAAGATGGAGGCAATAGACATTCCTCCAGATCCAGTGGGAGATAAGTAAAGTAACTGACTTAAATGACAGCAAATGGGAATTTCAATTAGGAAATTAAGTTCAGCATCTTGCTGAACAACAAGAACAATCAGACAGCAGAAGAGAGTGTCTGAAGGGGGTTTGAGATCTTCATTTCTGCATTTTTACACAGAACAGTTTAATAGTTTTGTGTTGGGAATGCTGTAGCCATGGACGGTCTTGTCTTGGCTTTGAAGATATCAGATGGCTATCAACATCCAAAGTTACATTCTATAAATCCTACTAGTTTTTAACATTACGTATAACTCTATATTGCAATCCAATTCTTGCTTTATACTCCTTTGTGAAAGCCTAGAGGACATAGGCCGGTAATAAAAATACTACCTAAGAAGAGTACTCAACCAAGCAATCAAGACTATAAAAACTATAAATGTATAGAATGTTGCTATATTAAAGGCATATAGGTTTTTTTCGTAGAGATATAGTCAGGAAGAGTCATAAAATACTGACCTAGGCACTCTACTTTCTCCTTATGCATATGTCCAGATTCAGATTATGCGTTTGTCAGCACTGCCTTTAAATCTCTGTATAAGACACAGATTGTGTTTGCCTGATCTGAAGTCTGCTGCAGTCAGTAGGAATCTCTCTAATGCTCTTTAGTGCATCACTTTTCTGTTCTATCAGGTTGTTCTCTTGAGATCCTCATAATGGTCTCTGAGCATCATCCAGCTGTGCTGTCAGCAGTGCAAGCGAAATACACCATGTGTTTGTTTGCTCACCCTCTTTCTCCCAGAAATGTGTGCACAGTTGGGAGTATTGTGTTCATTAGGATTTTCCTTTTGTTTTAAAAGTGATGTGACCGTTGAATTTTGAAAAATGCTTTAATGCATAAATTCAGGGTGCCTAAAAACTTACTGATGTAACATTTTCCAAGGACACATAATCAAGGACAAGAGCATAAAGAATGATTCCCTGTTGATAAATGCAGTTGGCATGCAAGCTGAAATCTCCATTCTAGGAAAAGCAAAGAAGATTTTTCTGCTCTCTCTGTGGGGCCAAGATTTCCTTCAAGACGTTTTACATTCCTTCAGCAACAAATAGTGTAACAATCAATTAGTAATGCCTAGAAAGCATTTTCATTTTGCAAATTTTCAGTAAGGAGCTAAGCCCTATACCTTCCCAAAGAGCCACATTGACCTCCTTTTATGGATGGAGAAACAGAAACATGTCCATGAACATGCAAGAGGGTGGTGTTCAGTGCTAATAATGAAATGCAAGACTTTGCACTATCAAGTCAGAACTGTGACCACTATGTCCTGTGGCTGGTTGTGGCCATAGTGCTACCCAGGGTTACAGAAGAGGAGCCCCAAGGGCACTAGCAGGCCTTACTGGCCCTGTACAGCCCTACTTTGGGCCTCCCCACACCCCTGCTGATGACCCAAAACCCCATCCAGCTCAGCCTTGGGTCATCAGTCCCTGTCCCAGTGGCACCACAGGAGTGCCAGTCTCCAGCCACACTTCCTGGACGGACCCTATAAATGCATATTGCAGCTTGTCTCCAGTTGTGTTCCTGGTCTCAGCCCCTTTTGCTCCTGGTTGGCCTCCCTGGTTCATCACCTTCCCTATTGGTGGACCCCTTGATCAGCCTCAGCCCCCAGTTCTGCTCCTGGGCTCTGTCCCTGCAGGATGGTGCTCAGACTGCCATAACAAGGCTGGACAGAGATCCCATGGAACATCCTAGAAATACCCAAGAAATACTCTTATCCTGATACAGAAAGAAAATAATAATTAAAAACAATCCCAAGATCCTACTTCTCTGGCAGTCAGATGAAATACATCCACCTTCTCATTGATGAAGAAGACAACTCTGCTTTGTAGAGACCCCAAAATGTATAACATAAATGGGGAAAGAGGAAATATTAAGTAGGAGATAGGTAGTCCAAATATTGGAACATTAATTGGATTTCCTGCTCTGGGCTTACAAAACATAATTTCAGATTTGAGTAGGAGATATTTTAAACAGCACCAATTGTGTGAGAAATGGTGCATTCAGACATGAGGAAGAAAGGCAGCACGTGCAGAGGCTGGGACCAGCACTGCCAGCTATTGCTGCTGCTTCTATCTGCACTGTGATAAAGAACCAGCAGCTTATGCACGATGTGAGGCAGTTCTGCTGGAAAGAACATCCAGTATTTAGGATGCAAGCAAGCAACCTTATGTGTTCCAGAGATCAGCAGTGAATTGTGGGGACCTGGAAGGTGTCAGGAACCACTGCATCAAAAGGTGATGAGAAAATGAGTACCACTATAATTTCAGAACCTTCACAGAAGTGCAGCTGCATGGTATCTATCCCAGCTTATGTGAAATGAAATCAGTTCCAGCAGCTTCTAAGAGTATGCCATTGACATAGAACTACTCGATTCCTAACTCAAGCAGACAGAGAAGTGCAACGTACGTGGATGCCTGTAATCATCAAAAGAATTGCCTGGAGTTACAACAGCTTAATTTCTCCCTGTCTTTCTCCAGCTTACAGTCAAGAGGGGAAATAAAATTGCTCTGGTAAAGGAGTTTAGAAGAGGAAATATTAAGCTGCGTTACAAATACAGCCATGTTTCTACTCAAGTTCACAGAGTCCCCTCTACAAATATTCTACTACAGTTGTCCTAAGACTTCCTAATGCAATGAAGAGAGACCCCATATTTACGGGAAAAAGGAAGGAAAATCCTCTAGTTTTACTTCTATGAGGGTTCAATTTATAACTGAATCCATGCATATAGCAGTCTGAATGTTCTCTATGTGGTGCAAGACGTAAATACTGTTGTAATTCTGTGTCTGTTTTCAGCTTCACTGAACTCAAGAGAGATCCACTTAAGCACACCCCTTAAATCTCTGTACTGGTGGAGAACTAACTCCCTGCCTGCATCCCTCTATGGTTCCAGAGAGCTGGTTTACTGACAGTGAGCACCCCAGTAATATGTAAGTATAAAAAATATAATACTTTTAGATAAGGGGAGAAAAATAGAAAACTGCAAAGATAAACTTTATTTTTATGATCTAGAAATAATAAAAAAAAATTGATTTAATGAAAAAATTCTGGGCTATCCTTCAACTTCCTGTAGCCTGTATTAGTGAATTGTAATAGTGTGATTGATAGGGGCAGCTAGTTACAGAAAACATCACTGTAGTTTCCTCTGTAGACCCATGCCTGACACAATATGAGCTACCAGATGAAAGAGGAGATGATGTTTCTGACAAAAATGGTTGTGACTGAGCAGCAAATAACAGTAGCTTTCTCCAACGTCTTTGAACAGTGAGCCACCTCTGGATGTCACTGACCAAGGTTCCTAAACCTTGCCCAGGTTTTGAATTGGCACACACAATTCTAGTATATTTTTAATACCCACAAAACTGGCAGGGTTTACTTTGTTGTCCTCTACAGAGATACTACTGAAGCAAATCACCACGGACACTAATTTTACTAGTAAGAAATCCCAATTGTTTTTAATAAAACTGAAGAAAATCTCAAGCAGAACTCCCGTACCCTCTATCTTTCTTCAAAAAACTGAAGGCAATTTTATGATTCTAGGTACTTGTTTTCTATAGAAACTATAGAAACAAAACCCCAGTCTTAAACTATTTTTGCTCTTTGAAACTTAACAGAAGAATATTTTCTAGTATTTGGATATTTGAAGTCAGTATTACTATTAGAAAAAGTAAGAATGTATGTAAAATGTCTATTTAAGTACCTCAACATCTTTATTTCTCCCCATCTACCATTTCATACTCACATGGTACGTTCTTTACATTGTTCTTGATTTTCTTTCTTTTAGCATAAAAGATACTAATTAAAGCAAGAATACTTTTGTTCATCAAGAGCACGCAAGAACTCTACAAAGGTTAAAAAAAATATCAAGTTCAGGGTTTAACTCCATACCTCAAGGTAGATTTGCACTATCTGGGGTGCCTTTCCTGAACTTCTGTTAGCAATGATGATGAGTTAAGCTTTATGAACCATTGCCCTGTATAGGCAGATTTTTCTATGTGATTTCTCTCTCTGCTCATTAAGCAAAGTTTTGTGTTTGTTGGGGTTTTTGTTGGTGG